AGCTCCTTAATAATGTTTATTTTTAGATGGCAAAATGTAGTGTCTAATAGCATCAGAGCAATTATTTCTGCTTGTGGGGTCTATTAGCAAAAAACACACACACAAAAACCCCCAAGTCCTCACTAGAGATGGGGACAAAGCGTCATTTTGGTGCTTTGTCTTGGTTCGTGGGTTGTCAAACTCGAGATATTAAATTCTTTGTATTCGTCATCAAATGAATGATGAATTGCCCCCCAGTGACCCGACGAACAATGAATCAATTTGTCATTCACTGGGTCATTTCCCCACCTTTCCCTCCTCTTGCTATGCCCCACAGCAAAATGTAGTGTCTAATAGCATCAGAGCAATAAAAGGGGTGGGGTTGGAGAAGAAGGGGGAAAGACCCATGGAAAGGAGCCTGAGGAAGCTACATAGGAGTGGCCACACTGGCTCATGCCTTACTGGGCACAGGCTGGGAAACTTATTGGACCCAACTGACCCTCCCCAGTACAGCATCACAAGGAGGTCCATTCCTCACTGACCTGTACGTTCTGGGACAACTGAAGCTGGGCCAACTCTAACACAGAAATGGTATCTGAGATAAAAATGCCAAGCATGTCAACAATGCCAGTTAAGGTACATGCTACTGGCTTTGGAAGCTGATTACTCCTGGATTAAATGAGCAGAGAGACCACAGCACTTTAAAGAACTCTGCTGGGGGTCAGAGGTGGAACCCTAATGTGGAGGCAACAAGACTGATGACCATGGGTTAAGAAATTGAGCCATTGGTGTTGTGCACCTGTGCAATGAGGAATGAATGTGTGATGTCTGAACCAAAGCCATGTGGCAAACACATGTGTCATTACCTAAAGACTCTCTTCACATTTTGGTACCTATGGAACTTGTGAGGACATGCACAACAACAGAGTCATGATCTAGGCAATGAAGAATTCCTGGAACCTGCTCCTCCAGAATGGGATCACATTTCCTTTTCTCTTTTGCCAAGCACTTGAAGGAGACAGGAAGAATGACAGATTGCCTCCTCCTGACTAAACCCTGCACTGAGAAGAGACAGATATCCTAACTTTCACAAAGCAAGAGGATGATAGCATAAGTCCATCAGAAGTCTAAGGTGTGTGCATGTTTGGCCTGGAATAAGGTGAAGAACCAGAGAGAGACAGCAAGGACACAAAGATGGAGACCAACAAGACCAGAGGAACTATGGGACTTTACATTTCTTGTTATAAGCCCTCATTGTAAGAAATTCAATTCTTGAATTGTAAATGTTTTGAACTATGCTTTCAGAAAGTTGACAAAGACCATCTGCTGCTAATTGAGGGAGTAGAGCAAACTCAGGGATTAAGAAGACCCTGGTGCATGGATCCTACGGAGCAAGCAGATTCCACACCTGTCCACTAGTGATGGAAGACCCTCTAAGTGCAACTAAAAGCATTCCATACTTCACAATAGGCGATAAGGACCATTTATCTAGGGAAAAACAAAGAAGCATCTAATGTGAATGCTCAGCTGGTAATCTGCCCCCAAAAAAATATAAAAGGAGGAGTCTGGACAGGTAGATTTTGTCTGCTGAGACCAAAGGCTTTTGGAACCAACTACTTTCTTTGCAAATCGGACGATGCAAATCAAGAATTCTTCTCTCTTTTGTGATGATGTATGACGTGTGAATGTGCTGAATGCATGAAACCCCTTTTATTAGAATTGTAATCAATTTGTAATAAGGTATATTCATTTCACATTTATTAATGTGTCTTGTGAGGTCCTTTGCTGTTTATATAATATTGTTCTTCCTGAGATACAAAAGATCTAGTAGTCACCTTTTGGTGACATAAGCTGAGAACAGGATTGTTTAAACAGTAAGTGAAAATGAGAGTAGATACGGTGCCACATCTACCTTGGGGCTTAACATCTCCTCTGAAGAGGGCTTGGGACAAAATAATTATTCACACAAAATACAAGGATCCTTGTGGGGCAGTAGTTAAACTGCAGACCTGCAGTCAAAACTGCTCACAACATGAGTTCAACACCAATGGGCCCAGGTAGCTGACTCAACGTTGACTTCATCTTCTACCATTCTGACATCAATAAAATGAACACCCAGCTTGCTGAGCAAGATGCAATGTTCAGCCTACATAATTATTTTGTAAACCACCCAGAGAGTGCTTTAAAAACTATAGGGAAGTATATAAACAGAACCCTTAAAATATACTACATACATGGACACACATACACATACAATATGACTAGTTAGGCAAAGGAGATGCGAAAAAAACCCACCTCATGTCTCAGATTTTTAAAAGTCAATGAAACAAAGCAGCAACTCTCATAGTTCTGTGCAATGTGTGTAAATTAACTCCATCTGTGTAAAATTATCAAGTCAATTTCCCCTAATCTCATAGGACAAAAGAAGGAGGGAATGCAAATTCTCATTCTTCTTGGTGAGGATGACACCCTGAAGGATTTACACCTCAGCTCAGCGCCCAGGATTGGGGATTTCATGAGGATGCAGAGTTCCTTACATCCTTCTGGATACAGTTAAGCGGGAAAGGATAGCAGGTACAGGGCATTTTTGAAAAATCCTCTCTCTCATTTGGGATCATGCATAACGCTTCCTCCACAAATCATTACTGTTGTTAATGACTTTGGTGTAAAGGGAAATGGCATACTCTTCTTCAGGTCCAGATTCTTTTGTTTATTAGAAGAAACAGGCATGGGATTGGCCCCTCTCCTTATTTCACCCAGGGCATGCCAAGAGAAATCATGACTTCTGACTGCAGTTAACAGAAACCTTTATGAAACCGGAGAACCCAAAGAAGACTGAAAATCAATGCAATAAAAGCACTTTAGATGCTTTTCCAAGCTAGTTCAATGAATTCTTACCATCACAAGTAGGAAGTGGGTGGCTCCACCAGTGGTTCTTTTCACACAGTAAAGGTTCTTCGTGGCTCAGTCTGTATCCTGGATCACACCCAAATGATACTGTGGAGCCAATGGAGAAGTCATGCCCATAACGATGTCCATGAACAGGTATACCAGGGTCCAAACATGAATATGTATTAACTGTTACACCTGGAATGCAAGAAAAATATATATATCAAAGGTTAGATTAGAACAAGAATCTTAGAAATATTCTTGTAGAGTAGGTAAAGGTAAAGGTAAAGGTTCCCCTTGACAATTTTTGTCCAGTCGTGTTCGACTCTAGGGGGCGGTGCTCATCCCCATTTCCAAGCCATAGAGCCAGCGTTTTGTCTGAAGACAATCTTCCGTGGTCACATGGCCAGTGCGACTTAGACACGGAACGCTGTTACCTTCCCACCGAGGTGGTCCCTATTTATATACTTGCATTTGCATGCTTTCGAACCGCTAGGTTGGCGGGAGCTGGGACAAGCAACAGGAGCTCACTCCGTCACGTG